GCAACCCTAGTGAGGATAAAGCGGTTCGGAAAATGAATGAATGTATTCACCAATTTTATCATTGAATATTATTCATCAATTAACATAATCTGATGATTTGAAGTTATTGCTCCATCAGTGTATTTCGTTTGCGCTGTTAAATTAGCCTTGATAAACACAAAAAAAGATTTCCTTGTGTGCAGGCCCCTCACTTTGATCTTCCCACCTCTAGAGCATGTTAAAAGGTTCCTAATTTATACACCACAAAAAATTATTTGAAATAAGAAAGATAATTTAAGATTTAATTTTAAATGTTTTCCTGCAAATTAAATACAGTATTCTTGATGAAATGATTATTATAATTCTTATGGACAATGTGGCTGAATGACATATTTTAATGAGGCAGTTTAAATTCAAGTTGAAAAATGTCAACACTTCAAAGTATTTCACAATATATTAAATGATGCTGTATGTTACACATACAGCACATTTGACAATAAAGTTGTATCCAATCCAATATTGGTTAAATGGTAGTGCTGTATCAGCATAAACCTTCAAAATGATGTTGGCTCATAGTGTAAAAGGGCTTGGCATGCTTTTAAATAGTAACTTTTTAACCAGTGTTAGGAATGCTCGTGGAAAGTCTAAGTCAGGGGTTGGCAACCCAAAATGTTGAAAGAGCCATCTTGGACCAAAAAAAAAAAAAAAACGAAAAACAAATGTGTCTGGAGCCGCAACAAATTAAAAGCCTCAGAAAGAAGGCAACACACGCTGTACGTATCTATATTAACTCTGTTAGCCTACTATCAAAATGACTAAGCTGGCTACAAATACACGAGTCTTCCCGATTAAACTTTTTTTTTCCCCCTGCAGTGCATCCCGTAGAGCAGGGGGGCCCAACCTTTTTTGACCAAAGCTCTATTTTTCGATCAACCAGCCTCCCGCGATCGACCCGTGACCACACACGCACGCATACGCATGCACTTACACACTCATGCCATAATGAGCAACAGCCATAACGGCGGCTAAGATGAACGAGGCACGGGACGCAATTTTGTAGTGTGTTAACTTTCGTAGCTGACGTGTACCGTTTTAAAATGCTTCTCTCGGTCCTTCTGATTGCCATTCTTTGCCAGTTCCCTCGGTGAATTGGACATGAAACGCCATTCCTTCTTACAACAGCCACCTGCCTGACATCCCGCTCTAATAGAAACGTGTGTCGCAGGCTATGACGCAAATCCTCGTTGACAGAAATGTTGAAATGTAATATTTATTCGATATATTTTTACAGCATTGGAAAATGTTAAGAATGTTTGTCCTCCTACAGAAACCATATTCAAACAAAAAATATATTTTCACTCCCCCATCTTTTTCCATTTTCAAACATTTTAAAAAGCTCCAGCGAGCGACTAGGCGTGTTGTCTTGGAGCTGAGGCTCTGGTTCAGGTGCGTTTTCCGGCTGAAGTTGTTGACTTGAATCAGGATGCATGACAGAGCAGTGTTTTTCACTGTGACACTCCTCGCAGTTCAGTTTCATGTCACAGTCCTTTATTTGATGAAGGGGAGAACAGCAGCGAAAACATCTTCTGTATTCCTTGAGTATGTTCCTCCTTTCATGTAGTGGTTTGGTCCGGAATGCTCTACATTTCGCCAGAGGATGTGATTTCTTATGAACGGGGCAGTAGCGTGTTAAATCATCCTCTTTGGTATTGTCCGGAGTGGCTGTGTAAACCTCTGATTTGTTTACTGTTAGAGGTGTTTTGTAGCTAGTGTGTTTGTATGGTGGTCTCTCACCTTTGGGGAAGGGTTGACTGCTGCACATCGCAAAACTTGGATCGTTTCTTGCTTTAGCTTCATCTTGGACAAACTTGACAAAATACGCGAAGGGAGGGAACGATACATCATATAGTTGTTTGTATTTTGAGCCTGTGTGAAGCCATCTTTCTTGGAGACTTGGAGGCAACTTTTCAACTATGGGCTTAACACCACGGGGTGTGTCGAGGTAAGCAAGACCAGGGAGATAAGCCTCATCTTAAGCAACTTGTAGCTCTAAGAGCAGATCTCCGAGCTCCCTGAGTTTTACGTTGTCTCTGTAAGGCGAGGGAAGTTGTCTAATATTTTAAAGAGGGCGTTCTCCACTACTTCTGGTGTAGCGTAACATTCTTGGAGCCGGTCCCAGGACACCTGGAGGGCTGCTTGAGGGTTAGTGGTACATACAGCTCTGATTCTCTTAACGTGTTCTGAGGACTCTGTACCGAGCCACTTGACTAGGAGATCTAACTCCTGACTGCATGTGAGACCAACGTTTTCGTCAAACTGAAATAGCCCTGTTGTGATTAACTCTCTGCGTGCAAGGAACTTAGCAAAGTCTGCCATGGGTGGATCATTATTGGGGGAAGCATGGTAACTATGCTTCACATAGTCTCTTGGTATGTCGGGTGTTTCATTCTTTACATACGTTTTCTTGTGCACCGGTGGAGAGTGGTGTTGTTCGGGTGTCCTTGAGGTGAATGATTGTGTCCTTGCCGGTTGAACTTGCGACTTCAACTGGGTCTGGTGTTGCACATACTCCATAGTTCGCTCTGTTACAGCTTGTAGTGGGACTGCACTCTTGACGCTTTCGGCTTTGCCTTGTTCGATCGCAACAGCTGCTTGGATGAGTGTTTGGATGATGCTTTCGATGACGCTTTGGATTCGGAGTAAGCCATTTCTTCTTGGGCGTTGTCCATCGCTGCGTTGTGATTCTTTCTTACACCAACTGCTGATATGGCTTTTCACTGTACTGTTATCGCTACGTGTTAGATACTCCGGGTATGTTAACGCAGGTCAACAGCAAGCCAAACTCATTTATTCATGAGCCAGGAAACTTAGCGTCTTGCTCCTTTATTGCGGTCTTCTTGACGGCGTACAGTGAACAACTGTGACATCAGCTCAATGAAATGTAGAGTGAAAAGCCATTGCTTTCGAAGGTGAAATGAAAGAAGAATATAATATAACTCAGGAGGACCAGTTGCAATGACCACGGTCAGGCTTTCTGTAACGACTTGTCTGATGAAACACGGCGTCTGCTACCCACAATGCACCGCGATAACTAAATGAATATTCTAAACAGAATTACTATTCATGAAATGGCCCGAAACTTTTACTGTGGGCAGAACAGTACCTGTGATACAAATTACAGACCTCTACCTGCTTTACAAGTGGGAACATTTCATACATCAGCAGTGTATCAAATACTTGTTCCCCTCACTGTATTTTGAGGTAACTTTTATTTTTAACGCAGCTTTTAAAGTTACATTTGCAAGTTGAACAAGCTTGAAATGTTTTACGGTCCATATACTGTACGATGCGCGCGCGCACACACACACACACACACACACACACACACACACACACACACACACACACACACACACACACACACACACACACCTGTCTCGTGGCAGTGTGGATTCAATGTTGGTGTGAATATTGAATGAAATGTCTGTCTCAATAAGTGACTTATATGTAACTGTTGACCAGCCCAGAGTGCAGTATGTCTTTCGGCCAAAGTCAGTTGGAATAGGCTCGAGCTCCTCCGCAACCCTAAACAGGTTAAGTGGTGAAAAGAACACAAGTTTGTGTCGCAGACAAACTCATAACAACCATCCATACAATGACAGAACGATATTTGTTCTTTTTGCTACTCTTGGCTCATTTATTGAAGTAAGATAAGATAAGATAAGAAAACCTTTATTAGTCTCGCAATGGAGAAATTCCCAATTCACAGCAGCAAAGTTATGAAAGGAAGAAGTAGAACAACAAAATATAGGAGCTGCTGGAAAGGCAGCCACTCTCGCGGCGCCATTTTGAAGTCAAAATAACAAAAATAACACAACACAACACATAGGACACAAGACAGTCGTGCCATCTTCACCACTTTTCTGCATACACTTTGTTGTCTGAAGCAGTTATAGATGAAAGAGGAGAGGATCAAAGTGTCCTTTCACCAGTGGATCAGAGACGTCATGCTGAAAATGTGCACACGTCTGCTATAAGCTAAGTTTTGAAAGCAAACACGAAGCTGTAGCGTCCATTGACGAAAGTAAAACATGTATCCACAAAGTTTGCACCATTAAATCAGTGTATGTACATACAAGTCTTCGTAATTCATAGTTGAATCATGAATTTCGCCACCAGAGATCAGACAGTTATGTCACAGCATTTATTTTGATGCATTTTGGCTCTTGGATTTTTCGACCAAGTCACAAGATTTTTTTTTTTTTCCCACCAAGTATCGTAGCCCTGTTGGGAAGCTTCCTATGCATGATGGGGGTTGGAATTGACTCAAGACTTTGCTGGTGTATGAACACACCCCTTTCTGTTCAGCGCAATTGTTGCTCAGTAGCCAACACACATCTCATGGGCCTAATTGGGGCAAACTACTGTGTGAAAGCCCACTTTGGACACAGAAATCGCTCACTTTGTTGAGCTATGTCAGAAAGGTGTAGGGGAGTAAATCCCAGCATCACTATTACAATTTACCAAGTACCGTATATAGTGAGCAGGCAGCATAAGATAGTTTAGAAGATAAGATAAGAAAACCTTTATTAGTCTCGCAATGGAGAAATTCCCAATTCACAGCAGCAAAGTTATGAATGGAAGAAGTAGAACAACAAAATATAGGAGCTGCTGGAAAGGCAGCCACTCACGCGGCGCCATCTTGAAGGTCAAAATAACAAAAATAACACAACACAACACATAGGACACAGACAGTCGTGCAATCTTCACCACTTTCCTGCATACACTTTGTTGTCTGAAGCAGTTATAGATGAAAGAGGAGACTGAAATCACAATTCTCAGGTTGCAGGATAATCATTGTGCTGCGACACCATAGCATTCCAAATGAAGTCATAAAATGTTCTCATCTGCTATCTTTACATCTCGTGTGTCCTTCTCATGAGAAGTGTGATGCTTGCAATCAACTAGCTAATGGATTGAATAACACAGAAACAGCAGTGCTGCAGTTTAACAACTTTTCATGAATCAGACTAAGACTTTATTGTAACAGACATTTTTGTGACATTTTTATGTCACAAGTAATTAAACAAAATATATTAAATAAAGCATGAAAAAAAGAATTTCTATCTCGATTGGAAGAACAGTAAACTATATCGGCCGCGGTTATTTGCCGAGCGTTATTGTTTGCATTTCAATGCCGTGCTGTAGAGTGCTGGAGAGTGCGCATAATGGGATAACCTACTCGGTCCATGTATTCCCCTGAGCACTGACAGCATACGTCATCGTGGGTTGGTGTCCTACACTGTCATCGCTAAGGTAGTTCTGTAGCGTTGTCGGCCACTCGGCACATTACATCAGCAGCATTGTTAGTTGCAAACCAAAACAGAGGATTCTATCCATGCACTCATACAGTTTAAATGTTTTCATACAGGATTACATCCATGTACGCGTATAGTACTTCAAATTGAATGTTTTCATAAACAACAGCCAGAGTTAGTCGTTGATTATCACACCAACTTTTTTTGCAAATACGGTTGAAAAAGCCGAGGTCGAATAAGTGCTTGTAACAAAGAATGCTCGTTGACACCGAGATGAAGTTGATTCGCTTTGCGCGAATGAATCTGTATCGTTGCAATTTCTTGGTCCATTTAGGTGCCCTATTCTTTTCTTTTGGCCACTCAAACAACTGTATGCCTGAATGTGGACAGTGCGTCGCCACACAGCGCCGAGGCTTTTCGCTGAATAATTCGGTAACAATGGCAAAGAGCAGTTAACGGGACAATCAACAATGCTTTACAATGGCTGACTGGTGACTTGGCATTCTGAAAATGATGTCATTCGCCGGAGATTGCTGAACAAAAGTAAAAAAAAACTATGAACATGGGTGGGTTGCATTAAAAAAAAAACTTACGAAAGTATGCTTGAAATAGTTTTAGCCCGAAGTATTACTAAAAAGATGGTTGGCCAAGTCGACTTCACACTTGACCTTTAATGAAGGCTAATGAAAACAGTGGTTTTGAGACACTGAGACGATGAGAGAAAGAAAACAAAGGTCTGGCGCTCACACAGCAACAAAGACCGACCGGCATGTTGGCAGGTGGTAAATTATTTTTCTTGATTTCAATTCAATTTTCAATTTGATGAATGTATTCTTCATATTGATGACATGATGACTTTGTAATCAATATACCTTGAGGTATCTGGAGGCATAAATGGATTCCATGACTTGGCAGCCAGCAGCCAGGAGAGCTCAGTCAATTCAGGTTCAAAGTTTGCTATTGAAGAACTCCAAATATAAACACAAAAAGAAAAATAGCCAGGGTTTGTGGCAAATCATTATGAACCACAAAAAAAAAAAAAAAAACCCATTAAAAAATGATTGTTGCAAATATTGGGACATCGTAACCCTACAATATAGGCCGGTGGAAAGGGAATGGAATCAGGCTTCCTGGGATCGCCAAGTAATCATATTGCATCTGTATAACCTCTGGATCTTTGGTGTGCAGGTATGTGTTTTGAGATGATGGATGCAATGTCACAAGTTGACAAGTTAACTACAAGTTGACAAAAGGCACATGATGGATGCTAAGGTCAAGTCATGTTTGGGTCATTGCTTTTGGTCAAGTGTTTTCTCTGTGCTTCCTTATGACAATTTCCTCACATAAATCATTTATGTTAAAATCAGTGATGAGTGAAATACAATATTTAATCCGTTCATGTAAGTGTGAATGATTATCCGTCTCTTTGTATCAACCATGAGGTTGATCAATCCACGGTGGTCCACTTTTGGCCTGAATACGATAAACAATGTTGACATTACACGTGTGAACTAGAGTTAATGCTTCCTGCAATAAAATACAAGCATACAGTTTATAGATGCAGCTTCACATAAAAGAACGTGCTCTCAACAGTAGGAGAGTTTGAGCCTCTTTGGGAAAGAGGAATGTGTTTGTTTGGGTTTTTTTTAGTTGGCTTCAATTACACTAATCAATAGCAAATTTTAATCAGAGATGGCTTCATGTGTCCCTTAACATATTTTTGACACTAGTTTAGAATGTGTTTATTTTTGTCTGGCACATTTAGTTTT